CATATTCAGCCACAGAGAAATAAAGTGCTAGGGCAGTAGTGCATAGGGTGGATGGATGCGCTCCCACCTTGGAATTTGCAAGCTTACGCAGAATATTGTTTCTTCTGTTGACCTTGGCTTCAGTATTTAATGTGTGCTTTTTGTAACAAAGTGTATGGTCCAGTGTTACCCCTAAGTAGACTGGGTGTTTCTCCTCTGCAAGGAGCAGTGTGAGAGCATGAGCACATTCTGAATGCTTGACTTGACCAGGAGACAGCAACCAATCAGAGGTTTTTTACACATATGCTGATGTGTTTACTCAGTAGACCCTAAAAAGGACTGAAAAAAACCTATGTAACAGAAAAATGAAGTGTTTGGTTGTGTGCATACTGCTTTGTTACTATCACACGTATGTTGCTCCTTTTTTCTACCCAGTATACACCACTGCATCATTAGGCTACACAGAAATGTTGCAAGAACCAAAATCAGCATCTCAGCCTCAATCTTTAACCTTTGTTTCCTTGAAAGTTGAGACCATGTGTGATGGACTACGGGTTTTATTTGTAAGATTTCTCTCTTAAATGCGTTATGTTGTTATGATGGTTAGTGCCTCTGTAGGAGCATCTACATGTGCATTAATGTTTCTTTTGTAATGTGCTTAAATTTAGTACCTCTAATATGAGGTATTATATTAATGCACATTAGGCTGTGCTAATGTGCAGTAGCGCATTTGCATGCTTTTTTAGTGACGCTTAATGCATAGTAGACTATTTTACTGAGCATCAGCACAATGTCACGGTTTTTTTTACGTGACGCTTTAATGCACAGTAAAATAGCATACTATGCATTAAAGTGCATGTGTAGACATGCTGTTTTACCTGTAAGGGGAAAGAAGAACTAATAGGGTCCGTGATGTGAAGAGGGCTACTTTTAAGAGAGAGAGACTCAAAATATCCACAGAGGCTTGAATAGCGCTTTTTTCACATCAGCAAAAGTGGGATTGCTGGTGACACCCAGGAGGCTCCAGGAAAGCTGAATGGACAGAGTGGGGTGGACTAGCAGAGTGTCTGCTTGTTGCAAGGTGTGAGGGAGGGTAACAGGGCAGTGTTAAAAGACTGAAACCAGTAGAGCAGCTTTAGGGGCTCCTAGCTGGGCAGACCAGAGAGAGAACAGCTGAGTAATTTTGGAGTAGTCAGGAATGTGGGAACTGGTCTGCAGACAGAAGGAGTGCTACCCTTTAAGGGGGTAGAGATCCTCTGGCTAGGTGGCCTTTGTCCCAGTAAACGCTTTTATTGAAGGGGGATGTCCTGATTGCTGCTTGGAACTTTGGGTTGTACTTGTTCTCCTCGACAAGAAATAAAATCCCCCTCTCAGGAGCAGAACAGGATGACTCGTTGAGCCATGGACAACCAGGGTGAGTCAGGGGCTGAAAGGCTAGGGTCTCAGAGTGGGAAGGAGCCAGGGCATGGCTTCCCTGTTCTGGAAGCCATACTTGGACTGGCTGCAGGGAGCATTCATGGAGACCAGACAAGCAGTCTTGAACAATAACCCCCTGGAGGGACACTATGTCACCAGCCACAGTTCTGTAATGCACTGCACACAGAACTTTCCACACAGAACTACTTGTTGCCTCTTCTGTCAATTGCTCTAGACTGATTGTGGTCTTTTAAATCAGTTACTTCCTTCTGGGGAATTTAGTGTGGTATGTGGAACCTGCTCCTTCAGCTATGTATTTTTCCTCTTCATTCTTTAGATATAGATTTCTTTGCCTGGGATATTATTTTAAACTTACATATGTTGTTATACTGGAAACTGGAACATGAAACTAAAACCATGAAATCACTGTGGCCTAGATCTCAGTAATACCAAATCATTCCCCTATGAAAAAGAAATGTAGAATTTGATAAGGTTAAGGACAGAAGAGTTCTATCTAAACTCCTATTTGGTGAAATCCTGACTCCACTTAAATCAATAGCAAAACTCCCACTGACTTCAATGAAATCAGAATTTTCCCCATCTAATATAATATGATTTAATAAAGAATGTGTTATGTAGATGTATCAAACCACCCTGCATCTACACAAGATATTTGCTGTGAAGTAGACTAATTAGCTCTGCAGTAAACATCTCAACATCTACACATGCAGGGCTATTAGGCTGGAGTAAACTAATAAACTCCACAGCAAGGTAGTACTTGTAAATACTAACCTGCTATGGAGTTTTTTAGTGTTTAGCAGTGCACATGTAGATGCTAACACAATTGGCTGGGGCACAAGGGTACTTCAGTGCAGGGGTGGCTGGCTGACTAGCCCCACTCAGGAACCCTCTCGTGCCCCAGTCAGCTCCTCCGCAGCACATTGAGCCAGGTCAGAGCACCTCTAGACAGGCAGAATGTACCCAAGGCCCCCTGCCAGTTGAGGCTACTCCAACCCAGTTCAACATGCTGCAGTCCTGGGTGCATGTGTAAGTGTGGTGCCCGGGAGCAATTAACTCCGGCACGATAAGCACCAGCCTTTAGTGTATTACATTAATATGCACATGCAGATGTGATCTAGGAGGCCAAAGTGGGTAGTAAATAATTTAAGTACAAAACAGTCCCCCAGGCCCTGCCAGTGCCCCTCACTCCCAACCTACAGACCCCCACTCCCTAGCTCTGCTGGTGTCCCTCTTTACCAGCCCACTGTCCCCAGCCCCACAGTGTGTGGGGCAGGGGAGTGTGTATGGGGCAGGGGGGTACCAGATTTGTGTACCCACAGCAAGCATAGGGCTGCAGCCTGACTGGACCAGCATGGCCTGGAGCCACCTCCGTAGCCCAGCAGGTGGGGCCTAGCATGGGAGGGTGGAGAGGGGTGCAAGACTTGTTGCTGTTGCTGCTGGCAAAACCACCATGCCAACTGTGCTGCCAGCAGCATGAGGAGTAATGGATAGGGAGGAGGGGCCACACTGCCTTCACTTTCTCTGCTGCTAGTTGCTTGTACACCAAGCTATGGCTCTACCAAGCCACCATAGCTTGTCTGCTGCCCCCACTCCCCTCATGCCACCATTTCCCCATGGTACCCACCACCCCACTTCCCCTCCAGGGTAGAGCCATGGCCTGAGGGGAGCAGCAGTGGTGGCTGGGCCACGGTGGCAGGGTGGAGACACGGCCCAGCATACAAGCAGATGGCAGTGGGAGAAGGTGAGGACAGCATGTCCCGTGCCCCATCTGTTACACCTCACACTGCTGCCCCACTCTACCCTCCCATGCTGGATCCTGCCCATTGAGCCATGGAGGTTTTACCTGTGGCAGTCTGGTGAGGCTGCAGCCCCATGCCCACTGTGGGAGCACAAATCTTGGGGAACACATGCCCCCCATACCCCTCAATACATAGCCTATACTCCCCTCCAATGCATTGTTTACGCTTCCCCCCTGCCCCATAGACCTACCTGGAGATCTGCAGGACCTGCTGTCATGCTACCTGGCTGCCACATGCATGTATGAGCGCGCATATGCACGTGGCACCCCCCTGCCTGATCACCTTCCTCCTGCTCCTCCCCAACCCCAAGCAGCCCCTTGCAGGCTGAAACTCTGTCATCCTGCAAGGGGAAGCCCGCAGTTTCCCATGTTTTTATCCTTTGAAAGAGAATCCATTTTCATAGATTCTTGTGACTCATTTTTGGGTCGTGACCCATGGGTTGAGAAACACTGATCTAGAGCAGTGGTTCTCAAGTTTTTTTATACCAGGACCCATTTGTAAACATTGATGGCCAGTCCCAACCCAGTGGCCCTCATTCCTACCCCACTGCCCCCCCACACCCAGTCCCCAGTCCCCCAGTGTGTGGGGCAGGGGGTGGGTGAGCAGGGTAGGGTGGGTGTACATGGGACATGGGGGGCCCAAGCAGCCCCTTGCAGGCTAGAACTCTGACAGCCTGCAAGGGAAAAGTCACAGTTTCCCATGTGTTTCTCCTTCAAAGGAGGATCCCTTTTTAAAGTTTGTTCATGACTGTTTCATATGTTCTTGCCACCTGCTTTTGGATTGTGACCCATGGGTTGAAAAACTCTGCTCTAGAGGACTGTATTCCATACCAACCTCTGCCATTAGCCTGCTAATGAAACTTGGATCAGTTACTTTACTTTTCTGCTTCAGTTTTTCCATCTGTAAAAACTTAAAGTACTTTGTGGCTTTGGTTTAAAAACGGTATATAAGAGCTATAAATAATTGTATTACAGATAGGTGATGTCCCTTAGCAGTAGTTCTGAAGTAACTTTTTATAAGGAACTCCCTAATCAGTGTAGTATCAGCATAGCTAGCTTCTTCCAGCATTTTATGCTATAGGAACAGGAGTAGGGAAAGGTAGAAAGGATGCACTTCAGAGCAAGACAGAGGAATGATTATCAGAGCACAATGCGCTTCAGTTATCTCCACTTGTCAGATAGTCCCTTAGGAGGTATTGTCAAATGGTGCAATTTAAAGCAGCCTCCAAGATGCTCTATTCAGCAGCAGGGCTGACACAGGTGCATGGGAACAGGCAATCTGATAGGCCACCTTCTCTGCTTTGCCACATTACCAAGTTCAGAAACTGCTTATGATACAGAGGTCTGTATAATTCATCTAGTCATTTACAGACAATCCTCCAGGGAATGCATCTGATGTTTCTACATCCAGGATCTTACTGTTGGAGCTTTGGTTTTAGCTGAAACATTTGTAAAACCTCTTGCAGATAGAATGGCTGTATGTCTTTTATTAATTAGCTATTCCAGCTAATGGATGACACAACTTTGTAATTTCCTGCCAGACCTCTATTTTCCAAGCAGAAGAATCTGAACAAGTTTTGACCTGATCTACACAAACTTGCTTTGAGTGAAACCACACCCATCTTGGGTACCTGCTATCTCAAATGTGCAGGAGTTAGCTATCTGAAGACCCATATTTTGTAGAGGAAAGCGGAACTGTAAGCTTTTACTTTGATCACAACAGTGACTAGAATTTCAGCGTGCACCAAAAGAACATTTTAACCTTGGAGTCACTGGGCCCCGATCCTTGGGTTAGAATTATTTCAACAGGAAAGCATGGGGGACAGAGCTGGGCAAAACTGTTTTTATGCCATCTCCCTAGGGCAACTGAGGATTACTTTGGCTTCTGGCATAAATTAAAACAACTCAGGGACCATTTGACATCTGGGTATAGCTGGGGTGCAGTTCTGCTCTGGTGACTCTACTTTCTCTTTGTCATGCATAGCATATACCTTGTTGGGGCAGCTAAAAGGATACTGACCCAGCAAAGCTAGCTTTATACCATAATGTAAGTTTTTTTAGACCAATTATCAAGCTGTTTTGCACCCTGCCTTATTGGGAACACGGCTCTTGTTCCTTGTATATACATGCTGTACTCTACTAATAACATCAGTTACAAATAAGAAACAATGAGCATTATGATAAAAGAAGAAAAAATGGGAAATGGATAATGAAACAGTAATAAAATAGAGAGAAAATGGTGTTTAGCAAGTTTAAAAGCTTCCACGCATCTGAACTTCATTGGGAAGACTTGACAGCCAAGTATTAAACATTACACCATCTAGCTGAATTTTATGTCATTATAGTAACAATGTTATTAAACTTGATATGGTTTTATTTTTAATTTCAATGGAACATATTTCCTGATCTTTTCATAAACACGACCTTTGGGAATCGCAGTAATCGAGACGTTTCCTTATTTATTCTGCTGCATCAGCGAATACTTCCAATCAGAAAACTATATTGGAAAGCATAAGAAAGCTTTCACAAGGTACTGTATTGTTACTATTTAGATGCTTTATTAAAGAATTTCAAATGAGAAAATTAAAAGCTCCTTTTATGATATTACTTGATGTGCCACCATGGAGAGGATACATTCAGTACATTTGCAATCTTTTTTGACAAAAGCACTATGGAATTGTATTCTTCATTCCTTTGCCTTGTTTTCATTCTGGATTTGAACATGGTACCTATATTTTCTTGTAAGTTGTCAAGCTGTGTTTTCATACTATATAAAAACTATATTCTCTTGCTATATAAAGCTATGTTCCTTTTTTTTCTTTTTCATTTGATAATTTTTATTTTTAATTGCCCCACACAACTCAGAAATACATATATCTCAGCTATATAAATATTGAACTCTTTCTTTTTTTCCATACAGAAGGAAAAGGGGAAATATAGTTTTCATATAAACAGGCTTTTATTTTTCAGAAGGGTAATGCTTCGGAAGGCTCTTTCTCCACTACAGAGAAAATAGGAATGAAACCAGAAATGTTATCCTTTTTTCAGACTTTTGTTGAAGAAGGAAAGAAGACAGAGAAGAGACGGTGCTATTCAGGTAGGGTCCACGATGGATACAGGTAATGAAGAAAGGAGTATACTGCATTCCACATCACCACTGACAGCCACATATTAATTTTGCACGGTGTTTTTAACTTGCCGAAAATATATTGCAGAACTACAGGAATGATTATTTGATAAACAAGTTATTTTTTAGACCACCAAATTTAGGTGGTAAGGGTACTGAGGAGAGGACCTTATTTTCATACATATTTGATATAAAATATATACCACCTGCTGGAATTAGTGAGGAATTAGGATAAAGTTAAATCAGTCCAAATCCATGGAGTGGGTGGTAAAGTAATTTTCACTACTTTATATATACACTTTTTTGATCTTAGAAAATCTTTCCCTTCAATGGAAGCAGCAGCCTTTTTTATTTGCACTTGTGCCAGCAAACAAAATGTGGGTTATTAAAATTCTGAATTTGTTTAACTCCCCCCCATCCCTAAAAAATCCCTCCAGTGATTTTTCTGAATTCGCTGAAAGAAGCTAGCCTGAGCCAAATGTTGGGGCAGCTTCCAAAAATGCTTCCTTCATTTGTATTTGCAAAACTTTATACAAATCAACCCAATCCCTGCAATGGAGTTAGTAATAGATGGGTATGATTACCAAGTTGGGTATATTTTTGTCCTGGCTCTCATATGTTTTGCTGACCACCAAATACTGTTGTGATGCATCTTGCTTATGAGCAAGCCATCAGTTTAATGTCAAGTGCAAGATCATTGTTATAATCAGAGCAGGCCAGGGATTTTGAGAACTGTGATACACAGTCTATACAAGATATACAAGGTGTGAATGGTAGGGATAGATCTGTTGCTGTGTAAGCTGGTTCTGAAACCAAAATAATTTTCTCAAAAAATAAACACACACAAAAAGACTAAATTAAAGGCTAATTGACCAGTTTAGCTCCAATGAAACCAAACAGTGGACTAAAAGCATTTGTACTTGATTAATTAGCCCATCGTGACTATCAATCAGCATAGACAGAACCTGCAAATTATAAATAAAATGCCAAGAATCAGCCACACTTTTAACATCATGGGTCAGATTTTGCCTTCAGTTAAACCCACTGGCCTCAGATAGATAACATGGGTATAAATTGAAGCAGGATTTGGTTCAATATTTTTTGTATCGTAGAAGTCATGGAACAATCAAATAATATGACCTTTAGTGGTCCACCAAAGAAGCTAGTTCTGCTCTGTATGGGATCCAGATTAATCAATATCCTATTATGATCGCAGCCTGGGTTTTTTACAGCTGAGGCATGCTAAGAACTGTCCGGACAGTATTTTTCTCCTTGCAACAGCAGTGTAGCTGGTTTCACACACTTTCAGCTTGGTACATTGTTGCTTTGTAAGAAAGCCACAACATGTTTTTAAGCAATGTTGTGTAATCCGACATAAATGTACCCAGTCTGGGCCCACTCCTGCATGCACTGCCCAGCCAGGACTTTAAGTGCACCCCAATATGCTAAAACACATATTAAGAGTCAGAACTCAGACTGACAATGAAATTCAGATTTTCCTGTCATTTGCAGTAAGAGCATTACATACAGGAATGCCAGGGAAAGCAAGGGACAAGGATTCCCTGCATAGATGGATCCAGAAATTAAAAAATGGGGGTGTGGGAGATGCAACTGGCACCACAGGGGTGCTCACAGCCCACTCCTATCTCCCTTTTCCCCACCATTGGCAGACTGTCATGGCAGCAACTGTCAGAGACTTTGTTTGAAGTCCCTAATGGTCCCAGGTGCTGCCTTTATTGGAAGGGGGGCGGGGTGCACAAAAGTGGTCATTGCTGTAGCAGTGGCTGATCCCAGCACCACAACTGGCATGGCAGGAGTTCCTGCTGCCCCAGGCACTGTGCAGCTGCCCAGGCGTGGAACAACACTGCTACACCTACACAGGAAGCATATTTGGGCTTCTATTATCTGACCGTAAGTGAGAATCTGATGGAGATGGTGACAACTCAACACAGTAAGAGGCAAGTCCAGGTAAGTTGAGAACATGGCCCCTATCCACTCACTGATCCTTTACCATGATAATGAAAAATACATGAATGATATTTTCTTGCTCTCTCTCTCTTTTGGTTAACTTGCACGTGAATGCATAGAATGTTGCAAGGCTCTTTTAAATGAAGTTTGGCTCAAAATGTGCTCCTCAGCAAAGGCCTGAGATCTGGCATGCCAAGTTCCAGCTCAGTTTGTATCTTTACAAGTGAAATAATGAATGGCCCTTAACTATTGTGGCATAAGCAGTGACTGCAAGTGTTTGAATGAAGCTGACCTTTTACATACTAATGTTCCATAGCTGCTAATAAAAAAAGCATTTTTTTTCAGAGACGGGAGTCGAAAGAAATATTGCTAATACTTTAGTAAGATGTATGCAATTTAGCTGCAATGAAACAAGAAAGGTCAAATTTTCTCACTCAACTCTCCACCCTTTCTTTTTCTTGCATTGTCTAACTTCTTACCCATCTTTGTTGTACTAATGAAATTAAGATATCCTTCATGATATAACTGTGAGCTAAGGGGATCTAAATTACCTTCATCTGGCATCATTCCAGTATACTATAAATGAGGTAATTGTCCTTGACTATAAAATTTGCATTTTCAAGACTTAATTGCTATCATTACATCTTTTTGTAATTCTATTAATTTAACTGAATGGAGCATTTGGTTTTATGGTAAAAATTTGCATTAAAACATTGTACATCTAAATAGAATTTTAATATTTGCATTGAAAGCTCAGTACAGTTATCCCACAGGACCTAAATAATTTCACAAGAAAAGAATAAGTAGTAGTTGCACTTTAGGTCAACACACTGGTTTTCTTTAGGTGAATATTAATAGACTGTTACCAGTATAGTGCAGCCACCTGACAAATGCTTCTGTCTGGGTTCTGTGAATTCATTGTTCCAGTATGCTCTATGGGTTCTTTCTGCATAATTATTAACAGGAAGTACATTCTCGAGATGCAGTTGAAGTTGGGTGCTTGCTAATATGTTTTGTCTCAAAAGTATTTCATGGGCATAAACACTAGATATGTTGTATTTCAAAGGCATTGTTGCATTTCCTCAAAACTTCTCCTTAGAGTGTTAGTACACATGCTTTGCCATCAGCCAAGGCTCAAAAGAACCTATGTAATACTGTGAGAGAATATTCTTATGTGCATAATATTCTTGATCAGTAGCCAAGGTCCACTGCACAAGTTATAAGACCAGTTCATTGCTTAGCAGTTTAGTATTTGATTGGGACATCTTTCCAGAATACTCCTCAGAACCTGTCTGGCCATTTCACAAACAGGTGGCTATGTCCTTAATGGATTTTCTTTGAATGTGGAACATTTCTAGAAGATTAACCTCAGTACATTTATGCAGTTAATACTGCATAATATTTTACTGAACAACTCCGTAACCTTTGAGACCTTTCCTCCTTTTTTTTTTTTTTTTTTGCAAGCATAGTTTGGTTGTGGGCAGATGGTGGGTGCATCTACACGTGCAATTACCCCAAATGAAGAAACTCTGATGCAGTTTGTGCCAGAATCAGCTGCTTCTGGGTACAGTATATTCATGTGTGCCCAAGACCACAGCTAGGGTGGAGCAGCCAAAGGCTGGCAAGGGGCTCAGGGGGGCATCCCCAGGCTCTGAGTGGTGGCATCAGGTGGCAAAGGGGCTGGCTGGGGCACAAGGGTGCTACAGTGCGGGGTTAACTAGCAGGCAGCCCCCACACTGTAGCACCCTCATGTCCTAGCCATCCCCAGTCATCGTCTACACGTGCACTTTATTACACTAAATGACTCCACCATAGGATAGTACTTGTCCTGGGCAGTACTATCCTATGGCAGAATTATTTAATTTACCATGCTCAAATAGGGGTACACATGTAGATGGTGATGCTTTACTGAGGAGCTAATTAGTCAACTGCAGTAAAGTGCACATGTAGATACACCCTATGAATGGAAGTCTGAGACCATGTCCCATAGACCAACACAAGTGGATCAAATACATTGCTAGCTGGATGAATATCAAATTTATTTTGTGACAGTATCAGTCATGATGTGCCAAGAGTAAGGCACAGAGTATAAATAGTTCAGAGCAAAGACCATATTTTTGTCATGAGCTTAATGTGAAGGGACTCAAAGCCCTGAGTTATCTAAACGCCTAACTCCAGTAGAAATCAAGGCGTTTGAGAAATGGAGACCTTGTCTTTGTGTAGGGCTCTTAGGTGCTGGTGATGATGAAATACATCAGGGCTGTCCAATGGGCAGCCTATAGGCCACACAACGCTCACAAAGGGCCAACCTGTGGCCATCACTCTTCTCAGTCCTCTGACTGCTGTTGCAGCCTGGGTCTCCAGTCTCCCCATCCCTTCTCTGACTTGATATACAGTATGGATAGTTACACCGAGCTGGCTTTGGATAAGCCATTAGGTTTCCATTATTGCAGCCAACTCTACTGTTCTTCTGATGCTAGTAAGTACCATTGGGATGCAAAACATACTTGTCACAAAAGAATACACATGACTGTTTTTATACATTAAAATTTTGTAAGGGTAAAAACAAAATAAAAACAATAACAACAAAACCTGGATTTGCTTTTTTCCCATTATCTGGTATTCTCCAAGAAGTAGTACTCTGTTTTGAAAGGAATCTATTAACAGAACTGTGAGCCTGATGCCTACATATATATAGCACTTTACTGAAGTTATTGTATTTACAGTGGTGAGTGTGAAATAGGTGACATACTGCAAGTATGCACTCTGGCTTGCCTCATGGTAACTTCTTAATGTACCTAGACCCTAAGGAGACAGCATACAAAAAAAATGACAGGGTATGCAATGTGAAATAAGTAAGTAAGAACTGAAATTTAGCATATGTCCTTTTTGGTTGTAGAGCACTTTTAACACTCTTCCCCTACAGTGTTGTTAACATTTCCATTAGGCGAGCATTGTGTTTAGTATAAAAATCAATCAACAAAAAACCTTGTATGTTTACTGAAGTTATCTGGGTAGTACTGGAGAGTCCCTGTCAGGGATGTCTTTCAACCCTGATTGATCCAGGGCCTGAATCTGACATTGTAGCTCTGAGTAGACACTGTGCATGTAGGTCCACTAGTTGCATGGCACTTTTATAAGAATAGGTGCTATGTGGTATGAGAGAAGATGACAATGCCAGAGTTTTAAGTTACTTTTACAGATCTCTCTCTTTTCTTTGCCTGTAGGTATTAGTTTGGAAAGGAGTGTATAGAGGAAGAGGAGGCATGTAGATGTTGAATCACACACCAAAATATCAGCAAAAATCATCACAGACCTCTTCATTGCTCTGAGGCTGGAATTTATCCTACAACTAACATTTAATTTACAG